GCAAGCAGGCCCCACCCCATTCCAACCACCAGCCCTTCTGTTGCTCAGTTGGGTCAGATTCAGGTATCCTCTCCTCATCAGAACTAGGCCTCCCTGTGAAATATTCCAGGGGCCCCTACTGTGAGGTCAGGGCTGCAGTTGGCGGCAATTGCAATTTTAAACAGGGCTCTAACTTTTGTGTCATGTTTTGCTTTCAACGTCCATTATCTGGTTGGATTCTCAGAACATCCCTGTAAGGCAGACAGGATGAGTGCTATTACCTCCACTTTGTAGGTGAGGAGATGGAAGCCCAGATAAGAGGAAAGGACTTTTCTACCGTCACGTGACCCTTGAGTTACGGAGCTAGGACACGGACCCAGTCTTCCCAATCCAAGTCCAGTCATCTCCCTGGGCTTCCCTCCGTAGCCAAGTGTGGCTTTGCTATCCGCACGTTTACTGAAACCTTTGGATCCTGTTGCTCTTTTATGTGAGTGACCATTTCATTCAAGGCTGGAACCACTACGAGTTGAGCACTTACTGCGTTCGGGGCAGTCACTGTGCTAGACTCTGGTGACATCACACAGAGCAAGGCGGGCAGGGCCTCTGCTTTCTGGACCTTCCTCTCCAGGGGAAAGACACAGGCAGTTAGCAAGTCAAGAAGCAAAGAAGTCTATAACCACCCTGGAGCCGCGTGCTTTGAAAGGACAACCAGGGTGGTCTGAGCAAATCAGCAGGGCAAGACTCTCCGAGGAGAGGTTATTAGACCTGAGGCTTGAAGGGTGAGGCAGGCAGCTCTCTGAGGGCTTCGCACAGAGGAGATTAGCAACAGGGGGCATTTTAGGCAGAGTTCTCTCCAACTGCTGAGCACTTACTGCATCACACGCCGAGCAAGAAGCATTGGGGGCATTGTCCCATTGTTCCTACTCCAGCTCCACGAGGGAGGTATAATTAATTTCTATTGGACAGTTGCGGACACTTAGTGGCTGGTTTCTCATGTCTCTTCATCACCCCTACCTACCCATGTGTCACAGCCTGATAACCAACAGGTCAATTATATTTGTGCATAATCTACCTCCTCTGATCTGCAAGGTGAGATTATTCAGAACTCAGGCCTGGCAGCCTTGCTCAAGGCCCAGACGAGGGTCCCCAGAGTTTCTACTGGCAGACCATGCTCCGGTAGAGTCAGCGAAAGACAGACATCCTTCTCACGTCACGGCCTGGGTGGAGGGCCCTTGGGAAGGAACATGGGGCAGGGGGGAGTAAGGAGCCCTGAAGGTAAGGGAAGTGGGAGAAGGAGGAAGGCTGCTTCCCTGACAGTTCAGGCTGGGGCCCTTTGTGCCTAACGTTTTCCCAGAACTTGTGTATTTATGAATCATTAGCTACTTAACGGAGAGATGAGTTAAGGGACCAAGCAAATGACAACCAGACTGAAGAACTCCATCCAAGCTTAGCACCCCATGATTCTGTGTTTGGGGTTTGACCGTGGAACATTTTTTCCCTGCAGCAGGAAGGCTGTCATGCAGCCTCCTCTACTCAACTCACACCAGAAAGGACCTTTAGGAACTGAGATAATTTTTAAAAGATGAGGAAGGACCAATAGTTTTCTGTCATCAGATGAATGGATATTTATGGAGCACCTGCTATATGTAAAATATTTGCACACCCCTGCCTGGAGTCGGGGTGGGGGCCCTGTGCTGTGGGAGGTCAAAAGGAAGAAGGGGTTAGATCTGGTTTGGGTTAGAAAAAACACACACAAAAAACAGGAAGGGAGGAAACTTATTTAAATCCAAGAGTCTGGGTGCCCTTTTTGATTTAGGCCACTGCCTTGTTTTCCCTTGGCTGTGGATGTTCTCAAATACTCACTAATCAAGCAAGTATTTCTTGAACACCCACTGTGTGCAAGACAGTTGGAAGCCCCGGGATAGAGGTTAGCTGCGGTCCCCGTTCCCAAGGGGCTTCCGTTTTCATGGGAGGCACATGGGAGAGGCAACAGGCCCGGTTAGCAGGTGAACAGGCAAATACAGCCAATAGGGGTGAGCTTGCAGGGCTGAAAAGACACCGGCAGGGAGCTGGGGTCCAAAGGGAGAGCAGTTTGGCAGGCCTTGGAAGAAGTGCTATTTAAGCGGAAACAAGGGATAAAGAGCTGGCATGCCAAAGGGTGGGGCCCAGAGTTTTGTAAAGAGGAGCAGGATGGAGCTTGGTCTGATGGAGAAGGGGTGTCTGGAGGAGCGGGGAGGAGCTGGGGTTGGGGCGGGGGGCATTTAGGGCCTCGTGGGCCACATCCTCAGGGGTTATGATACTGCTCTTTGCAGCCCGCAGCCAGTGGAGGAAGATCATGCAGGAAGTGATGAGGCTGAGCTGTGCTTTTCAAGGATCCCTCCGCTTCAGCTGGGAGAGTGCAGGTGGGGGAGCAAGAGAGCAGGGCAGCGGTTCTCAACCTGTGGGTCGCGACCCCTTTGGCGGTGGAACGACCCTTTCACAGGGGTCGCCTAAGACCATCCTGCATATCAGATATTTACATTACGATTCATAACAGTAGCAACATTACAGTTATGAAGTAGCAACGAAAATAATTTTATGGTTGGGTCACAACATGAGGGACTGTATTTAAAGGGCCAGAAGGTTGCGAACCACTGGAGCAGGGGGCGGTCCTTGCCAGGTCCAGGCATGAACTGAGCTGATGGCCTCCGGCTGTGCTCTTGGTTCAGCCCCTGGAACTACCTCGCTAACACTCCAAAGAGGCTGGTGGTGGAGAGTCAGAGCCCAGGAGGCGGCCCACCCGCCTCCCATCATCTTGGCTACGCCCAGAGCCGGTGCGGATCTCTCACAGAACAGGAGGTTCTCTCCAAGCATCGAATCCTGAGGGAGGAAAAGCATCACGCTTACATTTCCAAAGTGTGTGTGTGTGTGTGTGTGTGTGTGTGTGTGTGAAATGATAAAATACACCATATCAAAGAAATCTCTCCATTGCTCTGTGTAGCTTTGCCACACACTTCAAGGTCTCTTCTGTAATTTGGGAAATTGAGGAGGAAAAAAATCAAAGAAACGCTGACATAATGGAAAGCATGTGGACATTAGGGTCAGCCAAACCCAAGTTCAAATATAACTCCTGCCATGAACGGGTTGCGCAAACATGGCCAACTTGGCCTCTCTGAGCTTCACTTTCCTCTTCTATAAAACAGGAAAGAAACACCGGGAGAAGGGAGCAAGGTGCAGTGGCTGAAGGGTGGTCTTCAGAGCCCCTCGGACACGGGTCCGAGCGCTGTCCCCACTGCTCCGATTGTGTGACTGCAGGCAAATCGTTGGAGTTCTCAGAGCCTCTGTTTCTCCCTCTGAAAAACGGAACAATCCGTTTTCCACCTCCGTAGGATTTATTATAAACTTCACATAAGAGAATTCAGGTAAAGAGAGTCCCTCAGTGCCTGTCTCAGCTCCCCGGTCTGTAACTGAAGAGGTGGGATGAGACCGGTCCTTGGGGCCCTCCCCAAGTTTGTGATTGTGAATTTCGTTAAGAGGCCCTGGAAGAGTTAACCTGTCTGGATTCCTTGGGCCATGGCACGCGACCCCAGGTTTTCTCACCCCTTCAGTGTGGAGAGAAGACTGGGGGGCCAGACGGGGTGGGGGCGGGGTGTGGGGGGGGCACACAGGCTGGGAGCGGGCTATTTGGAGCCTTGTTTTTCTTGGAGGTGCCCTGGGGCCAAGGAGACTCTCCTCTCCCTCCCTGTAGGTTTGGAACCAGAATCTAGTCACCCCGCCTTTATTTCCAAAACAGTTCCTGGCACCGGTGGGAACCTCCAGGCTCCAGCTCTGAGAAATCCCTCGCTCCCTGCCTGTTCCAGAGCCCTCTCCTCCGCCCGCCAGACCCTGGGGCCTGCCCTGGCCCGGCTGTCACTGAGCATTGTCCCTATGGTTCACAGAGGCTGGCATGGGCGGGACAGCAGGCCCTCCTCCCCCTTGCCCAGCATGTGTGACTGAGAGTGGAGGTCAGAGAGAGAGAGAGAGAGAGGGAGGATGGGAACTGAAGCCCATGGCTCCCCTCTCTCCTGCCTGTCTTCATCCAGCTGTTCACAGGACTCTCAGCGTGCCTGGGAGACTGGCTCCCACTGCTTTCTTCCCCTCTTCCTTGTCCAAAAATTACAACTTCCTAACCCAGTTCAAACCTGCTTGAAGAATTCAGTTTCTTTTCAGGGGGGGCCCAGATGTGTCCCAGCTAATAAGTCACCCCGACTCGTTTCCCTAGATTCTCAGCAAGTCAGCAAGGGAAGGAGAGGGGATCCTGGGGCCGTGGGGGGGGGGGGGGGTAGTGTCTAGGGCACCGTTTTCCAACAGCACATCATGAGTGTAACACTTCCCCAGCATTCGCCCCATCTGCCTACCACCCCTGCTATCACTGATGCCACCCGTGAGGAGCAAGCGTGACCCCAGCTACATCATACTGCAACTTTATTTTATAATATATTTTGATTGATTTCAGAGAGGAAAGGAGAGGGAGAGAGAGATAGAAACATCAATGATGAGAGAGAATCATTGACTGGCTGCTTCCTGCACACATCCCACCAGGGATCAAGTCCGCAACCTGGGCATGTGCCCCGACTGAGAAGCAAACCATGACTTCCTCGTTCATAGGTCGATGCTCAATCACTGAGCCACACCAGCTGGGCTGTGCCACATATTTGAAGGAAACCATGGATCATTTCTGTCTGTGCACAGCTCCCCCCAGCCAGCTGTCACTGGGCCATAAGTCCGGCTACTCCAGAGTTCGATGGTGTGATGATGAGTGCTGCACCCCAAGACCCCTCCAAGGTGTATTCTGGGCCCATGATTCAGCTCATCCATATATATACTCAAGACATTGTCCAGCTACTTGTATGTGACATAGGAGAGAGCAGGAGTCAGAAATATAGTTTCTCCCAGCTTCCTCCTCCTCCTCCTCCTCCTCCTCCCACCCTGGGTGCCTTTCCGACTGACCCCCAGTCCGCTCAGTGGGACTCACCTGCTCACAGCTCTCTTGCCTCCTACAGGTGACCACCATGATCCCCTGGATGCTCTTGGCCTGTGCGCTCCCTTGTGCGGCCGACCCTCTGCTTGGTGCCTTCGCTCGCAAGGATTTCCAGAAGGGCTCCCCTCAACTTGTCTGCAGCCTACCTGGCCCCCAGGGTCCCCCCGGTCCCCCAGGAGCCCCAGGGCCCTCAGGAATGGTGGGAAGGATGGGCTTTCCCGGTAAAGACGGCCAGGATGGCCAGGACGGGGACCGGGGGGACAGTGGAGAGGAAGGTAAGAGTTTAGGGGACATGAATATAAGATTTTCTATATAATCATTGGCCAAAAATGTTGTTTTGAGAGAAATGCACATTTTATGAAACATGAGTCTTAAGGACCGAAAGGCGTTCCACAGGAAACATTCTGCAGGGCATGCGGAGTGTATTCAGCGTGTGCTTACTGTGGGCCAGGCACTCCTCTAAGCACTTATAAATGAGTATAGAAAGAGCATTGTGGTTTCCTTTGAACAAAACACGGTTCTGCCGCCTTCTCTTTCCTCTTCACAGGATATTTTAGAGAAGTTTTCGTATAGTGCACATAAATCTGCCTCATTTTCAAAAACTCCTGCATAGAATTGCACTTTATGGATGGACCATCATTTTTTAATCATTTTCCTTTGAACGGGCGATTAGACGTTGTTCCCAGTGTTTGCTGTTGGAAGCAGCAGCACTGTACTAACCACCCTTGCACATGTGTGCAGGGATCTGGGCACTAGGCAGGGATCACACTAAGATCAGTGTTTTGAGGTCAAAGGCTTCTTTCAATTCTCTTCTCAACTCGTGACCAGCACAGCCCATCGAAGGATTGTTCTGCCTGACAAACCAGACTCTTCCTTAGAAGGCAGGAAAAGAAAAGGCTGGCGTGCTCAGTGGTTGAGCCTTAACCTATGAACCCAGAGGTTATGGTTCAATTCCCGGTCAGAGTACATGCCTGGGTTATAGGCTCGATCCCCAGTAGGGGGCGTGCAGGAGGCAACCGATCCATGCTTCTCTCTCATCACTGATGTTTCCCTTCCTCTCCGAAATCAACAAAATATATTTTTTTAAAAGAAAGAAAGAGCCATGACTGGTTTGGTGGATGGAGCGTCGGCCTGCGGACTGAAGGGTCCCAGGTTCGATTCCGGTCAAGGGCATGTACCTGGATTGTGGGCACATCCCCAGTAGGGGGTGTGCGGGAGGCAGCTGATCGATGTTTCTCTCTCATCAATGTTTCTAACTCTCTATCCCTCTCCCTTCCTCTATGTAAAAAATCAATAAAATATATTTTTTTAAAAAGAAAGAAAGAAAAGAAAAAGAAAAGGCTGTGAATTATGTTAGTTTTGCCCTGATCCTCAATGATTCTGGAAGGTAAGCATTACCGTTCCTGGCTTCCAGATGGGACTGGGACACGTGCCCCAGGTTCCACCATCAGATTTGCAACCATTTCCAGGCGGCTCCATTGCCCTCTTGTTCTTCCCATTACCAAAGGCCTGTGCTCCAAAGATGGAGCGCCAGGGCCTGCAGCCTCTGCTAGTTCTCAGGCCCCTTCATCACACCAGCTGCTCTGTCTTCCAGGTCCACCTGGCCGGACAGGCAACCGGGGAAAGCCAGGACCAAAGGGCAAAGCTGGGGCCATTGGGAAGGCTGGCCCTCGCGGCCCCAAAGGGGTGAGTGGTGCCCCAGGGAAGCACGGCACACCGGGCAAGAAGGGGCCCAAGGGCAAGAAGGGGGAGCCGGGCCTCCCGGGACCCTGCAGCTGCGGGAGTGGCCAGGCCAGGTCGGCCTTCTCGGTGGCGGTGACCAAGAGCTACCCACGGGAGCGGCTGCCCATCAAGTTCGACAAGATCCTGATGAATGAGGGCGGCCACTACAACGCATCCAGCGGCAAGTTCATCTGCAGTGTGCCGGGAATCTACTACTTCACCTACGACATCACGCTGGCCAACAAGCACCTGGCCATCGGCCTGGTGCACAACGGCCAGTACCGCATCCGGACCTTCGACGCCAACACGGGCAACCACGACGTGGCCTCGGGCTCCACCATCCTGGCTCTCAAGCAGGGGGACGAGGTCTGGCTGCAGATCTTCTACTCAGAGCAGAACGGGCTCTTCTATGACCCTTACTGGACCGACAGCCTCTTCACAGGCTTTCTCATCTACGCCGACCAGGACGACCCCAATGAGGTGTAGACAGACCGGCGCTCCGTCTCCAGGGAGGGCACACACTCCTGGTCTGGCGCTTACAGAGCGAGACCCCTAAACTGTCTGCTGGGGCCGGGAGTCGGGGGCTTCTGGACTAAGGCCAACCTTCTCTGCCCCCTTTTTCTCCATCATTAAACCCAAGCTTTTTTATTCATCCTCCCATTTCTCCATTCACTGATTTTTTATTTTTTATTTTAGTACCTACTGTGTGACAGGCACCATGCTATACTCTGGAAGGTACCATGGTGAACAAGACAGACAGAGGCTCTGGCCTCCTGGGGCTTACATTCTAGTGGGAGATACAATTTACACATAAACAAGAAAGTAATGTCGTTATTGTGCCAGGATGGAAATGCACATGCCATGGCCAAGGGTAATCGGAATAACAGGAGACAGGGAAGAGGTGGAAGTTTGTTTTTGGATTCCATCTTGTTAGGTTTACTTACATGCAATAAAGTCTACACATCTTAAACAGATAGCTAATGAATTTTATATATGTGCACACTTTGTAAGCTCTTCGTAGATTAGGAACAGAGTATTTCCAGCCACCCAGCTACCTAAGGCTCTTTTCAGTCCCTTCCAAGTCAGTCCCAGGAAGAGGTTACTTATTTATTTTTTTTAGGAAGAGGTTAATTTTTAAAAATATGTATTTTTATTGATTTCAGAAAGGAAGGGCTAGGGAGAGATAGAAACATCAATGATGAGAGAGAATCATTGATCGGCTGCCTCCTGCATGCACCCTACTAGGGATCGAGCCCACAACCTGGGCATGTGCCCTGACCAGGAATTGAACTATGAACTCCTGATTCGTAGGTTGATGCTCAACCACTGAGCCACACCGGCTGGGCTACTTTTTAAGCTGAGCACGGAAACAGGAGAGGGAGCCATGCAGAGAGTTGGGGGAAAGGGTCTTCTGGCAGAAGGAGCTGCACGTGTAAAGACCCTGACATTGGAGAGAACTTGGCATAGCTGAAGTCCAGAGGGATGGAGGGAAGCGACAAAGGAGATGGAGGCATGAGGTGAGAGGCTGGAGGATTATACAGAACCTCACAGGCTGTGGCAGAGTTCATTCCGCTCAAGAAAGCTTGTCGGGATGCGGGAGAGAGCATGACATTAATGCAGGGGTAAATTTGAATCTGCTCCGTGCATGAGTCAAGTCCGTCTCACCCTGAAGCACTTGATTATTAGTTAGAGGTCACCTGCAGGCCCATCTGTCAACCAGTGCGATACACCAGGCTATCCCCGCGTGCCCGAGAACTGCGGCTCTGAGACGGTGGTAGCGTGTAAACGAGTCTTGCCCCAGCCCCGGGGTTCCAGTGTGCAGGGAGCCAGGGACAAGGAACCACAGTACAATGTGGCAGGTGGGGAGAGGGCTCACAGGTCACTTGCTGGAGAGAACTTTCCGATGGAGCCACAGCTCCCTGCCGATGGCTCTCACTGACCTCTGGCAGGAAAGAAGGAGTCAGTGGGGACCCAGGAACAGGGAACCATGCCAGGGGTGATCGAGGAAGGGGCAGCCCCCTCCATAAATAAAATGGGGTTTATTTAAAATAACTCCGTTCTCACTGGGCCACAAAAAGTATGGGGATAGGATGCATCTGAGAAACCCAGGAAGGGGCCTGGGACCCAAACAGATTCATGTGTAGGTCGGGGTCCTGCCATGCACCCCTGTGGGGAGGAGCCAGCTTCTGAGTTTGAGCAGGAATCTTTGTGAACAGTTCTTTTTACTTTCCCTTTATGTAACCATTTCTTCTTCCTTCCTCCAGGGATGTAGGCATCTGAAGGAAGTGAACTTACGCCTTTGTAGCCAGGGTAATAAATCCAGCCTGAGCAAGACGAGCAGGGGCCCAGAGCTCTGTGGTGGCCACTGCTGGGCCTGATCTAAACCCATGTCCCTTTGTCACCCTGCCAGGGAATCCCCGGGGCTGCAGGGAGGATGGGGGGATAGTCAGCATTCATGGTGGGGGTGGGGCAGATGGAGGCAGAACCTTGCAGGAACCTGGGCTGGCGTCTTGTCTCCCTTGGATGTGGTCCAGGGCTGCTGGAGTGCTGGGGTTGTGGCAGGTGGGCAGAAGCAGGGGACACAGTTCAGAGGGTCTCTGGTAACCAGCTGATGGCAAGGAGGAGGGCTGGCTTATCCACTCACACTTCTGAGGGTGGCTGCCTCCTTGGTAACCACTGGAGTCCTCAGGCCGATGATGCAGGATGGAGGCCCAAACGAGGAAGGAGTCCCAAAAAGGGGGCCTTTCCAGACACATGGGGGGAGAGGGGGCGGGGAAACCAGTCCCATACTGTGAGCCTCAGTGGACAGGTCTACCTTTAGGCCTTGACGTTTGCAGGCATTGATGAAAACCCAGAACCCAGTGCACCTTTGTGCAGTAAAATCACTCTTGACCCCAGGGTCATTTCTCCTAAGGGGCGCACTTTGAAAGGCAGCCATCATCAAAGATAAACTCAGCTCAACACTAAAGTGGCAAGGTCAGGTTTTAATCAGTGGTATACTATTGCAACAGTATATAGGGAACATGTAATATATAAATTGCAGTAATACGTCTGTAGGGAAAAGAGTGCACCTTTATACAAAGGTGTCTGGGTATTTTAAAGGAAGAGTGAGAGGATAGGAAGAGGAGCGGAGGGGCACTCTGCCGAGTCAGGGAAGTGAAAACAAAAAAATACAGGAAGGGGGATTGGTCTTATCGAACAGGTCCTCCTCTCCCACGGAAGCAGAGACCGGCAGAGCGGGTGCTATCTTCAGATGTTGGCTAGAACAGACCGTACATTCTTTTCACTGGCTTGAGTTTTTCAGGCAGCCACTTTACGGGAGGGTTGGGTCATCCTAGGACTGCAGCCTTGAGCTGTTAGAAACGATGTGTTTGTTGGCGCCTTTATGAGCCAAGGTTGACAGGCCTAGGCAAGAAGAGGGCTCAGAGCAGCCCGGCTGGAGTTTGAGCAAGGAGCGTCTTTGTCCCTGTCCCCTTCTGGAGAAAACCTGAGACGCTGCCGCCCTGGGTGTCACAGTGCACAGAGCACAAGCCCACTGTCCTGACTCCAACCCGGCCAGCCCTGCCGGGCCTTAGGGCTCATCAGACAAGTGAGGGGGGTTGCATACATCTGGGAGGATCTTCCCATGCTGACTGCTGGACTAGACTATGACCAAGGGGAGGCAAGTGAGGCACTCACCTAAAGGGTGCCCAAAACCTCAGCAATCAATATAAATAATATTTTAATGTAATATCTTAATACATCGACACTAATGCAAAAAAAATCTCCGTGATGAAGAAACCATAAAAATTTTAAATAACGAGGAAGTCTGACAGTGCTGGAATTAGGACGAGGTAAGGGGAGGCTGAGGCTGCAGCGGTGGTGTGGGACCCCTGGGCAGCCAGGCTCTCGGGTGGAAATTCTTTTCATGCCCTGCCTGTCATCTTCACTTACTCCACCAGGGGGAGCATGCCTACTACGCAAACCTTCAGTCCTAAGGCTTACAGGCTGGAAGACCTACCCTGGTCTCAGGCTGTTTTCAGAGCCAAAGACAAAAGAGAGGAAGGGAGAGAGAGGGAGGGAGACATTCTGCCCATTGTTTTATGCGGCCATGGCCTTTCTCTGGGGAAAGAACAAAAATTAAACAGAAGAGCTGTGACTAGCCGGTTTGGCTCAATGGAAAGAGCGTTGGCCTGCGGACTAAAAGGGTCCCAGGTTCGATTCCCATTAAGGACACGTACTTCAGTTCAGGCTTGATCCCCGGCCCTGGTTGGGGCACATGAGGAGGCAACCAATCGATGTGTCTCTCTCACATCGATGTTTCTCTGTCTCTCCCTCTGCCTTCCATTCTTTCTAAAAGTCCGTGGAAAAATATCCTCAGGTGAGGATTAACAAAAAATAAAAATAAACTCAAGAGCTGCATGTCTTCCCAGCCCTTTCATTAAAGGGATTTTGCACACATGCTAAATTGCAGTCACAGCTGGTGTCGGGTAGGAATAGAAGAGCAATTGTCAGGGAAACAGAAAACCCTGGTTCCAGCCCTAGTTCTGTCTTCAGGTTCCTTGGTCTGATTTGGCCAAGTCTTTTCTGGTCTGGTGGCCTCAGTTTCCCCATCTGTTAAATGAAGGATTGGCTCTGATGGCCTCTGAATCCATTTTGGCACAAAACATTTACGTTCCTGTCTCCAAAGCAGAGCCAGGAAGAGAGCCCAGCATTCCTGAAGCATAAATTGAAACAGCCGGGTGAATCAGGCCGGCGTGTTCTGAGGCGTTGAACTTTCACCTTCGGCCCTCTGCTCCCACTGACGACTCTCACCAGATTGCTGTTCTTCGGTTTCCTGGGCGAGAACTGAAATCATCGCCAACTGTTAGTGGACATTAGCCACATGCTGGGTCTGACGTATATTGTTCCTTTTCAGCTTCTCAACACCCCAGCCTCACAGGTGGAGAAATCAGTCCTGGGAAGAATGCCACAGGCACCGCGCTGGGAAAGGCATTGCTGGGATTGGAACCCGGCGGCCCTGGCCAGCCCTCCCTGCCCTGCTGTGTGTCCCCTGTCGGAGGGCAGCCACAGAAGTGCTCTGATACCCAAGCTCCCCTGAGTGGTAGGGGGTTGGGCCCCAAACACTTCCCTCCCGCAAAGCATGGTCCTGCCTAGTGGATTAGAGATTTCCTGCCAGTTCAGTGGACGTCTCCTAAGCACTCGTGTGGCAAGGTCGGGGAAGGCCCCGCTGGTCCCCAGACAGCTGGGGAGTCGGAATCCCCCAGGGCAGGTGGGGCTGCGACCAGGGGAGAGACAGCTGCGCCTGCTCTGTCCCATCAGCTTCCCAGGTGCAGCCTGTGAGTCTGGTCCCAGCAGCTCCTCAGCCAGCCCCGAGGTACAGCCTCGCCAACCCCTGGGCCCCTCGAAACCGGAAACAGGAAAGGCTCCAATTCTGCTCCTTAATGGGAGGCGTGGAACGTGTGTGTGTTCCTTTTTCTTCATTTCCCCCATCTCCTGCTGTCCACGGCTCCCTCAGGCCCGGGTAGACATTGGAAATTGGACTCTGAGGCCCATTGGAAGGTAAGCTCGCAGGCCCAACTCCTCAACCAGAGTCCACGGCTGGAGGGGTGCGGTTGCTTACTCACCCCTAACAACCTCGCTGAGATTCCCGGCCATCCCCCTCTTCCTGCTTCA